CACCGTGGACCGCGCCGCCCCGGGAGAAGCCGCAGCTTGTCCAGCTGCTCCTCTGGCTGCCCCCCTCTCCCCCGCCACCCCCAGAGCGAGGCAGGCAGTGCCAACAGCCCCAGGAGAAGTCGCAGGGGCAAGGGGGAATGATCCAGGAGCTGGGGGAATGATTGTGATCTGAGGGATCTAACTGGGACCTGGGGAATTGAACAGGGAGCTGAGGGGAAGCCCCTGTTCGTTCCCCCAGCCCCTGATCATTCTGCCCAGCTCCTGGTTCGATTCCTCAGTTCCCAGTTCATTCTCCCAGCTCCCAATCATTCTGCCCAGCCCCTGCGTCTTCTTCCGGGGCTGCAAGCACTTCCTGCCTTGCCCCAGCGGGGGGGCTGCCATGGGAGCAGCCGGACAAGCTACAGCTTCTCCTGGGGCTGCAGTTCAAGCTGAGGCTCATCTGGCTGCTCCCCCGGCTGCTCCCGCTGGCACTGCCTAGTGCCTGCCTGTACAGTCTATAGCCAAATAAGATTCAGCGCTGAATATCTTTGGATTCGGACAAATCAAATCAGGGCAGTGATTCAAATCACTGAATCCAAAGCAAATACTTTCCACTTCACACAGGCCTAGTCTACATTTATGGTTTTATTAGGCCACAGTAAACTAATAAAAGCTGTTGTTGATTAGTACTTGTCAACAGAAATACTGTCCTGCAGTGGTGTGATTTAGTGCACCATAGCACACATGTAGACACTGATAGATCTGGCTGGGGCATGAGGGTGCTATAGTATGGGGCTGTCTGCTAGCTAACCCCACACTGAAGCATCCTCATGCCCCAGCCAGCCCCTCCGCCACATGTTGAGCCAGGTCGGAGCAGCCCCAGGCTGGCAGGCTGACCCCCTGGGTCCAGTGCCATCCAGGGCTGCTCCAACCCAGCTCAACATGCTGTGGTTCTGGGCGCATGTGTAAACGCAGCGCCCAGGAGCAATAAACTTCAGTGCACTGGAGTTTATTCAGGTGTGTTCATTTCACTTGTAGATGCACTCAATAAGTAATAATATTCTTTGTTGTGTAGCAATCTATTTAATGTCATATTTATAAGCAATGGTCTTGATTCAAAGTATTGCACAGCTGAGGCCTTTCCAGTTTCACTCCATAATCACAAATCATAGAACCATAAGACCAAAAGGGACCTGTAAGATCATCCAGTCCAGTCCCTTGCCATGGGCAGGAAGTTATTGGGCTCATGCAAGCTCAATGAGGTGCCTGTCCAGCCTCATCTTGAACACCTCCAAGGAGGTTGAGTGCACCACCTCAGCTGGGAGTATGTTCCAGAGTCTGGTGACAGAGAAAAAATGTTTTCTTACATCTAACCTGAATTTACCCTCTATTAGTTTATGCCTGTTGGTCCTCATCCTCCCTTGAGGTGCCTTCTGAAGAGTTGCTCCTCTAGTTCTTGGTGCTCATCCGAATGTATTTGAAAGTGTCTATCAACTCACCTCTCTGCCTTCTCTTACTGAACAGGCCCAGTTCCCGGAGTCTCTCCTCTTAGGGCCTACCCTCCATGCCCTTGACCATAGGCATGGCCCTTCTTTGTACACTCTTGAGCTTGCTTATGCACATCCATCTTGAAGTGTGGTGCCCATAACTGGACACAGTATTCCAGCTGAGGCCTCACTAATGAAGAATAGAGAGGGAGGAGCACCTCCCTGGATCTATTGGCCACACATTGGCTAATACATGCCAGAGTTCTATTTGATATTCTGGCAACCTCATCACACTGTTGGCTCATATTCATCTTGTGGTCGATCGTGACCCCCAGGTCTCGTTCAGCTGCTGTTCCAGCCAGTGGACCACCACCCATCGTGTAGTTGTGGTGAGGGTTCTTTCTACCTAGTTGAAAGACTTTGCACTTCACGTTGTTAAACCTCATCTGATTTTGTTCTGCCCTCGAATCCAGTTTGTCAAGGTCATCCTGAATCTTTGCCCTATCCTCTGGTGTGCCTGTGCTTCTCCACAGCTTGATATCGTCTGCAAATTTAATCACTGAGCTTTCCACCCTCTCATCCAAGTTGTTAAGAAATATGTTAAAGAGCATAGGTCCAAGCACCAAACCCTGGGGGACACCACTGGAGGTGGGCCTCCAGGATGAGGCTATCCCATCAATTGAAACTCTCTGGGAGTGCCTGCTAAGTTAGGTGTCCACCCACCTCACTGTAGAGTGGTTCAGATTAGTACCCTCCAGTTTGATTGAGAGAATCTTGTGCAAAATGGAGTCAAAGCTTTTACTGAAATCTAAGTAAATGACATCAATCTCGTGTCCCTCATCCAGATAGCCAGTTACTTAGTTGTAGAAGGACACTAGGTTAGTCAGGCATGATCTACCCTCGACAAAGCCGTGCTGGTTGCTTCGCAACACCCTTTCATTTGCCAGTTTGTAATTGATGGCCACCTGAACAAATTTTTCAAAGATTTTACCCAGGACTGAAGTTAGGCTGACCGGTCTGTGGTTTTCTGGGTCATCCTTCTTCCCTTTCTTAAAGATGGGCACCACATTGGCTCTCTTCCAGTCATCTAGGACCACTCCTGAATTCCACGATGCTTCAAACAGCTTGGCCAGTGGTGCTGCTATAAGCTTAGCCAGTTCTTTCAGGACTCTCGGGTGCAGGTTGTCTGGTCTGCCAGACTTGAAAGCATCCAGGTGTTAAAGGAGATCCCTCACCTGTTCAGGACTGATTTTATGTAATCTGTTGTTTTCCCCACGTTTCCTAGGCCTCTGGTCAGGCAGCAAACAGCTCCCATTTGGTTTAAGGAATACTGACATGAAGTATGTATTTAGTAGGGCTGTGCAAAGCTTCGGTTCCTGATTCAATTCAGTGGAGATTTGCCTGATTCGGTGGCCAAATCTCCAAATCCGAATCAAATCAGAGGACTCTTTAATCTCTCCAAATAGAATCAGAACCCTCCAAATTGATTCAGAGAGATTTGGAAAGATTTAGCGATTTGGACATAGCCACTGCTTTAAATGTTTTTTCTACATACCTCTAGGTAGCAGGCGGCTCATGAATGCTGAGATGCTGGGGCGCATGGAGCATCTCACAAAAGCACGGGGTGCTCCCCAGTGCGCTTGGCAGTAGACCCAGAAATGGACCAGAATCACTTCTGGTCCATTTCTGGGTCTGCCAGAGAGCATGCGGGGGGGGCCCCCGTGCCCCTCCCTCCAGCTCGGTGACTGGTGCCTCCTGGGTCTGGGGAGGCACCTGGGGTCACCCCGTGGCTGATCACTTAGCTGGGGGAGGTGCCGGGGAGGGCCCCCGCATGCTCCCCAGCGGACCTGGAAATGGACCAAAAGTACTTGTGGTCCGCTTCTGGGTTTGCTGCCAAGCATGTGAAAGGCCCCCCCATGCTCCTGTGGGACGCTCCATCTGCCCCAACATCGCAGCATTCACAAGCCGCACTGGTACCTTGATGTATGTTGAAAAAACATTTAAAGCTGTGTCTGTGTCTGAATTACTGATTCTCTGAATCAGCATTAAATCTTCAGGTTCAGATTCAGCCAAATTGAATTAAGGACAGTGATCCAAATCAACAAATCAAATCACTGTCCCTGTTTTGGGCCAAATCTGAATCGAATGGGGCCTGCTTTGCACACCCCTAATATTGAGGAGTTCTGCCTTTTCCTGTGTGTCAACTGTGGGCTGCCCCTGAGCATTCAGTAGGGGTCCCACAGTGGGTCCCGATTTTTTCTTGCTTCCTATGCATCTGTAAAAGGACTTTTTGTTGTCTTTTATGCTGGTTGCCAGCTTGATTTTCATGCCTGCTTTAGCTTTCCTTGTCTTATATCTGCAGGCCCTTGTGATACAGGTGTGTTCCTTTCTGGTAGCTAATCCATTCTTCCATTGCTTATATGCTTCTTGTTTCTTTTTAAGAGCTCCTTAATATCCTTGTTGAGCAAAGCGAGTCTCTTGGTTCGTTTCCTACTTTTCATCCGCGTGGGGATGGCCTGTTTTTGAGCTGTGAGAATTGCCTCCTTAAGGAAGCACCACCACTCTTGGACTCCCAAACCCTCCAGTTGCTGATCGCAGAGGGCCTCTTCTACTAGCCTCTTGAGCCTGCCAAAATCTGCCTTCCTGAAATCTAGAACTTCTGTTCTGTTGACTGATTTCCCAGTCTTATGGTGGATGGTGAACTTTATCAGGTCATGATCACTGGCATCCACAGCACCACCTTTGCTCAGGTCGCCTATGATGTCCTCCCCCTTGCACAGCACTAAATACAGAGTGGCCTTATGCCTAGTAGGCCCTTCCAGAACCTGCATCAGAAACAGATTGTCTATTGTTGCCAAAAAATTGGCTGACCTGCTAGAGGTGGCCGAGTGGTCCTCCCACCAGATGTCAGGGTAGTTGAAGTCACCCATGGCAATCATGTCTCTAGTGCCAGATGCCTCAGTCAGCTCTCCAGAGAATGCCTGATTGCACTTCTCCTCCTGGGAGGTAGGCCTGGGTAGTAGACTCCCACCATCAGGTGTTCTTCTTCTTGTCTCCCTTGTCTCCTGACCCAGAGGGTCTCAAGGGACCCTTCCCTGCTGTCAAACATGACCTGCAGGGAAGGGTACCACTCTTTCACATAG